AATTTGCGCTGGGGGGATGGTGGAGGGGTGCCTTTACAAGGACGCATCGCATGGGAGGAAAGACAGTTAAAACACTCAAATGCACAGACGTTCAACTCTCCTTTCATGAATACAATCATATAATTAAGACAAGAGCCAATGAATGATACTAAAGGGCTGTGTCAGCTTGCAAATAGCTTTCCGACTCTAAATGATGCAAAAAATCAACCGTACTTGACTATTTATGCTAAGGACAGCAGGACACCAAAAAGGATCATGGCATTCAGAGTACAAGTTTCTGACGCATTACACGGGCATCGAAGACAAAAGGATTCACCAGTCATGAGTTGATATGTTGGCAATTCAACACTGCTGCATTTCTGTCACCCACACCTCAACACGGAGCCGACGCCGCTACTCCCATCAGCACTTAACTACAGGCATGTTCAAGGCGGAGTCTACATTTTGCGGTACCGCGTTCAGGTACGCAGCCGCCAGTTATTGAGGAGAAACATGAAACCCTAACCCATCAAGCTTAAGCGTAAGTGCCAATTCCACACAGTTGCCAATTTGGCTAGCATTGAGATTTGCCACCATGATCGGTCAGCACGGTGTGAACCTCAACTTGGTGCACCTTGTTGTGGACACCGTAAAACCCATCGCCAACATTGATGATGACGAGCGATGGGTGCAGGAGAGTCCACCACTCCGTTAGTGACCCCTTTGCCACTCTACCATGCAATGGAGAAACAGTAAATTATGCCACCCAGTCGGTCCCTTGTATTTGGAATTGTCAGCCAGAACAGCCTATACCATGTGTATTTAAAAGCTATCACTCTGATGTGACCCACACTATAAGTTTATGACTAGATCCCATGGTAAACTGACTATGACGTGCTCCTCAAAGTTAGCGCAGACTACTGCGAAGTAAGCAGTGCTGTTAGGTAAATGTGGGTGAGAAAATGAATGGCAAAGTGAATGGACGAATGCCCCAATGAGCACTGATGTACATATTCCCAAAAGACAAAGGGGGTTACAATGAACGAGGAGTTGCAGTCAGGGATAAATAAGCACATCAAGAATATTTGAATGGCGCATCTGACACAGTCGACTAAAACGAGGTGATTTGGTGCGCAAATCTCTCCATTTTGCTCATCATATCTTCATGATCACGAACCGGGTTTCTCTGTTGCCACTATAAGCTGCACGCGCTCTCAAACTTTTTGAGCATTGTTTCGTACTCCTCCTTTGTAGCCTGTTTCTCCGTGTCCGTCCGCTTGATCATCTCCTCACACTTTGCAAGTAAAGTTTGTCGGTACTCCTCTGATATCTTCTGCTTAATCTCCTCCTTCTCCAATTTCCTCTTCATGCTGTAGATGCAGTCCACTAGCAAATTCAGCGCTGCCACTCTACTTCTCTCCTTCTCGTCCTCCTGCTTGAACTTCTCCGCTTCAGCCAGCATTCGCTCTGTCTCCTCCTCCGACAGACGACCCCTGTAGTTGGCGATTGTGATGCTGTTCTGCTTTCCCGTCGACATTTCCACTGTCGACACATGGAGAATGCCGTTTTCGTCAATTTCAAAGGTTTTTTTAAATTTAATCTTACCACGCGGCACCGCTGGCAAACCCTCTATCCTGAACTCACCCAAAAAGTGGTTGTCTTTGGCCTTTGCACGTTCACCTTCATAAATCCTGGTGCACGAATACTTTTGATTATCTATGGATGCGTAGCTCTTGCACGTCTGCTTCGTCGGGATTCTCGTGTTTCGCTTTATCACCGTCACCATCGTACCATCTGCATTCCAATATCCCAATGACAGTGGCGTTACTTCCAGCAACATCAAATCCTGCATCGAATTCGACATACCACTCAGTTTGGCAGCCAACGCTGCCGCGCCGTTCACCACTGCCTCGTCTGGGTTGATGGATCTTTTTACTTCTCCACCATTAAAGAAGTCCTGCAACATCCTATGCACCTTTGGAATACGCGTCGATCCACCCACCAGCAATATTTCGTGGATGTCAGCCTTGTCCATCTTTGCATCACTCAACGCCGTCTTCACAGCATCCATCGTCTGACTGAAGAGGTCCAAGCACAACTGCTCAAATACACCCCGTGTGAGGGTCGTACTGAAATCAACGTCCTCAAACAACGACACTATACCTACATCAGTGTACTCAGCCGAGCTCAACATCCTCTTTGCCTTCTCACACGCCTCTCTCAGACAGCCCATGGTCTTCATGCTGATAGACAAATCCTTATCCTCGTGCTCCTGCTTGAACTTCTCCACACAGTGATCCACTAGTCGAGAAGTGATGTCCTCACCTCCCAGGTGCGTGTCACCACCAACCGCCTTCACCTCCAATTTGCCATTCTCGAAGAACAGGATGGACACGTCGAAGGTGCCACCACCCCAATCGAAGACGAGCACATTGCGTTGCCCGTCGCTCCTCCTGTCCATGCCGTATGCAATTGCAGCTGCCGTCGGCTCATTGATGAGACGCAGCACCTTTAAACCGGCTATTTTCGCTGCGTCTATGGTGGCCTGCCGCTGGCTCACGTTGAAGTATGCCGGCACAGTGATCACTGCATCTGTGACCTTCTCGCTCAGGTACATCTCTGCCGTCTCCTTCATCTTTGCCAGCACCATGGCCGAGATCTGCTCTGCGACGAATTGCTTTGTTTCACCACAGTGCTGTACTTCGACTTTTGGCTTCCCTTGTGAATTTATAACTTTGAAGGGCCAGTGTTTCATGTCGCTCTGCACTACACCGTCGTCGAAACAGCGCCCGATTAGACGCTTCACATTAAACACTGTATTGGTAGGGTTCATAGCGGCCTGGTTGATTGCGGATTCACCGACGAGGCGTTCTTTGTTGGTGAAGGCAACACAACTCGGCATTATGCGGTTACCCTGATCGTTGGCTATGATTTCCACCCTGTAGTTTTGGAAAACACCGACGCAGGCGAAGGTTGTTCTTAAGTCAATGCCAATAGCAGGACGTATTGACATGTCTTCATGTGGTGTACAAATACCAACGCATTGTGGCGAATAATGATGACCACCACGATTGCTGTAACCCTTTATATGAACTGCAGCTGATCCTGTTGAACCTATCCACAATGCACGCTAAGTGCTTGAATTCGTTTATCCAACCAGAAGCAGCCACTGTTTCGTGCTTCTCCTAATTTAGTAGTGGCTGTGTACTTGAAAGCGCTGACGCACAATGCAGGCTCAGGCTAGCGCACGCCTGTCAGTAAGCGGTGGTGTGAGCAGTGGGCCGTCTGCGTGTTGACGAGTTGGTGGTAGAAAAGCGGTAATGGGGAAGTGCCAATGTGGCGACTAGGGACTGGTAATGTCTTGATGTCTAGTAGTCCTAAGTGATGCGATAAGAGCGTATGGCAAAGTGTAGTTACCCTCCTTACGGCCCTTGCAGACTCCAGCACAAATAGCCAAATGGGTATCCTCACCACTCTGCAAGGTTGCTTTACTCTTTGAGGTTACCGAGTATATCTTCTCTCAGGGTAGTGGTTTTATTCGTGGAAGGTACGAAGGAGTGAGTGATTTTCGCCAGAGTCACGAAATGGGCCTAAGGGTGGCATACTAACTCTGTCTCTTTTTTGTTGGTGACCTGGGTCCGGCTAAGTGATGCGGATGAATGGGTAGTAAGTTGCCTATTAATACTTGGCTCTGATGGGCTTACCGAGGCAAACATTTGACAGTTTGTTGCATTTATTAAGTAATAAATTTCTTTCATTAATCTCATACTCAGCTCCAAACCAGGCTAACAGTAGTTACATTTTACTACCTTTGGCTCACTAGATGGAAATGCGTTGCCATAGTGGTCAACTTACACACTATTCTAAACACTTGGCTTGAAGTTACGACCTATGAGCAATTTGGAGTATATTAGCATAAAGAGAATAGGCAGATATTCACCTAAATTCAAAAAAGCCGGTAAGGCAAAGTATCTATTCAGTCAGGCCTATCGTAGTGAAACTGAATCACTAAAGCGATCAAGTCACGTCAGCTAATACTTGCGGATTATCTATTTTAACTCATTCAGTTGATGCATAGGTACATAAGGCAAGGTAGGATTTTAGCTTGTAAATCCGATTTTGAGTAAGATGCTGGAGTAGATATTAAGAGATTTTAATTCCAAATTAAGGGTTCAGTGAGACCAACTGTCTACCTGTAAAATGCAACGAATTTGAGCTACTTGCCAAAAGGTTAGGGCAGGCATTATGCTACAGCAACTTCACTTCCCATCGGGATAATGGGTAACCCATGACCACAAAACATGGACGAGTGATTGCGCTTATCATCCCCGGGTGATGAGAGACACATCGGTGTAGAATTTGAGAATGAGGTATCTTTAATTGCATTGCGTAGAGATGGAGTACCGAGCGTGGTGGCAGACCCACCTTAAGGAAGAATGCTGATAGGATTGAAATACGTGATATGCACGCTTCCAACAAATATTTTACCCAACTGACTCATGATAAAAAGGTTGCAAAGCTTCTAAAATCCTGCATTTGATGAAAATCCAAACTAGTGTCTTTGGTGTGAATCTAGAACCCTGGACATACTTCTGGTAGAGGGGTAGTGACAACGATTTTAATAACACTTCCTTTTTCTCCTTTTAAACGATAGTCTATTGGGCAGATGCAATATGTAGATTTTAAGGAGTTAAAATGTGAGGATGTACATAATGTGGCGATTTGAGTCATGCTGTCAAAGTTAACAAAAGTGTTTAAAGTAAATGAGCGGTAGACTACGGAGATATTTGTTGTGTTGATTGATGAGTAATGGATCTCACCAATCAGTCATTTCACCTTTCATTTACAAATACTGCATTTCCAATGTATTTTAAGTTTCACCTGAATTAGAGTCACTGCCTTCGGTCAGTAAGTGATCGACTTGGAATCCGTCCATAAATACGGTGACGGCACTACAAATATACCAATGCAGTTTTTTTCAACTACGTGATAGACAATGCGATTCTTGCCCCCCTTTGGTGAACACACCAAGGGCACCACTTATGCTACTACTCCCCTATCTCTTTAACACATTGGCAAAGACACATTCCGTCCAGTTTATGTGGTAGTGCAGACACCCGAAAAATGCTTAATGAACAAGTCCTAACATTGTTCGTGTAATGGTACCATTGTGTTTCACCAATACCAACACTGCTACCAGCACAACCATCACCATTGCTGCAATTACACTTGCAGCTACAACTCACGTGGATAAAATTGGCACAATCTGGAGCACAAAGAACAAAGCAATGGAAGTCAAGAAAACAAACTGCTCCCATGGGTACGTTCAGCGACCTCATTACAAGTCCGATTACTAAGTCATTCTCGACACACACTAATGTCAAGTAGTTGCCAAAACAGCTAATGCCGGTAAATCACCATGAAAATTCGAATAGGAATGCAGCAATCCTCTCTGCGATTTGACCCTGTTCCAAAGACTACCCGGCAAGGCATCTTACTTATCTGCAGACGGACCGATATCTTCCAGATATCACAGAACGCGGCGAGACGATGCCTCAAATGCAAGCTCATTAGACATGATCCTGACTTCTCACAAATATGGGACATCAATTCTGCCTACAGATCACCTGCTTTGTACATTTACACTCATATGGAGAACAACATCTCTCTGGATGCTTAAGAAAGCACACGCTAATTTAAAATTACAGGACCGGTGAGCTATAGGGAAAACTGATATAAACGGATCACCATACCACCGATATGGTGGCCCATATTTGTGAGAAGTGAAAAATCTTGTGTGATTGGCTTGCATTTAAGGCATTGTCTCACTGCCTTCTGTGACACAGGAAAGATATCTGTCTGTCTGCAGGTGAGCAAGCTACCATGCCGGGCAGTCTTTGGACTAGAAGATAGACAAAATGGTTCACAAGTCCACATCTCCTCTAGCCTGGTCCCCCTATCTCGTGCCTTGCGAAACGCCTAAACGATTCCTTATAAAGATACAAGCTGTATTTACATAGGAAAATATATGGAATTCGCGAACAGATCATTCCCTATCCACGCCCTTCATAGGTAAATGGAAATCCAGCTGGACCGCTGACTGGCTTTAGGACTAGAATCAAGCGATAATTAGGAATTGATGCAAAATAATACACTATACCTCTTGTTATATGACGTTAGTTGTCAAGCATCGTTTAGCCTTAGGCGGTGCCAAAGCCAGTTATTCAACTCAATGCAATTTACAGTGGAGATATGACTATCTATTTAATGAATTCAAAAAGACGCGTTTTCTCCATTTAAATTTAAATCCTCCTGCTGTCATGCAAGGTAATGTCTGTCTGTGCAACGAGGCTGCTTTTTAATGCATAGATGGCAGTTTGAGAGTCAGTGGAGAAGATGCCGCATACAATCACTTTAAGGACCCAGAGAGCTCCACACGGCTCACTCGGCCTC